CATGAGCCCACTATTATTTCCCTAGCTGGGTCGTTGGATAATGCTCTCATTTTGAAGTTTTCCTTCACTGTCCCTTCCCTCCGGGATTTATCTGTCGGTTTGGTCAAATTAGGTTTAAAGGGTAGAGTGGTCCCTAAGTTCCTGAATTATAATCATTATTTACTCCTTTTTTAGTTGAAAGAGGACTACAACTCGGTTTGGATTAAGACACATCTCAATATCTTTGGATGTGCTGGTCGGGTGTTTAAATACACTCTGGATTTCTCCTTTGCTGAGGAATCTCCCATAGTCCCAGTGTGGTGCGGCTTTCCGGGCCTTTTACTACATCTTATCGACCTTTCTGCCCTCTTTTCGATTGACAGTTGCATTGGCAACCCCATTGAGACTGATGCCGCTACGACAAACCGCTCGAGGTTATTTTTCTAACGGGTGTGCGTAGAGGTTGATCTGAGGGACAAGCTCATTAAGGAGATTGAGCTCGACCAAGCAGGCAAGACCACTATCCAGAAAGTGGTCTACGAGAGAGTTCCACCGTTCTGCTCCCTATGCAGTCATGTAGGACATGCGGCTGCAAAATGCTATACTAAGGGCAACAAGCCCCAATCGGCTCTGCCCCTCCGTCGACGTGTAGCTAGGCAGGGTTCTACTATCGCCCTGATGAGCCCTAAGGAGAAGGGCAAGGCCCCGGCCCATGGCCCCGACCCGAAGGGGCAAAATGGCAAGGGCAAGGTAACCTCTAAGGGCACTCTGCCCAAGGAGGTTAACCTTGATAGGACTAAGGCCAAAGCTACAGGCCTTTTCCCCCACCAATCCCTCCAGTCAGCTCCCATAGCTACCCATTCCCGCTTCTCTGTGCTTGACTCGGAGTCGGAGGAGGAGTTTCACATTCCCTCCGACCATCTGGGAGCATCGACCAACTCCTCTTTTTATGATGATGATCTATTAGTGGATGAGATAGAGTCTCCCGCCATCCCATTGTATATCGAGGCCCCTCCTTCCCCCTCAGCTCTCATGATCGTAGAGCCCTCTCCCCACCTTACTTCACTCTCTTGCCCACTAGCTCGACCCTTCTGACCCTCTCTTCCACTTCCCCCTCATCCCCTGCTAGCGAGTCT